CTTTGTTCACTCTAGCTAGAAGTCTCCAAGTGAAGAAATAGAAACAGAGATTAATTACCTCATCCGCTCAGGGGATAATTCCCTTTTGGGTAGTACTATAAAACTTAGAAAGCTTATTGATGGTGTCCATGCTTTCCTGAGGAAACACTGCTAGTTTCTTTGCAATTGACTTAATCAGCTGAACAGGGTAATTTCAGACTGGCACTTTGCTAGCTGAAAGAGTTACATACAGAAGAAATTTGTCTGCATCAGGAATGAAATTTAGCTATTAATCTACACATGACTCTGTAGTCACAGTCTTTTATCAACGACTTAGACAAATGACCTACAAACTTGGAAGAAGTTTGTAGGCTGTAGTCAAAGGATGCTTTTCTTTTCACTCCAGATAGGGTTCAGAGGAAGGAATAGTAACCATGACCTCTGTATAACTCCATAGTTTTTATCCTGTTAACTCTGAAAAATAAATGCAAGACTATATATGGATCAACAGCACAGTTGAACTATCTAACACATTTTTATTTTTAATTAGAACATTGAAAGATGTAAAAATATGTACAAATGTAGTTTACCTCATAACCAAAATAACACATTTCTTTCTCATTCCATGGGTCTGGCCACCTAAGAGAGCTCAAAACCTTAAGGACATTGCCATGATGAGGTCAGAACTAGAAGTCATTTTGCCAGCTCAAAACTAAATGAAATAAACCTGAGATTTCTTTCTAACTCTTTGTTCTTCAGCAAGTATATTTTAATTACTGTAAACTGAATTGACTGTGCTATATAATAAGTTACTGGAAATTCACATTATAGTGAACTAAATAAAATATATCTCTTCTCCACAATAAATAAATTAATGTGAAATCAAATACCATTGTTGTTAAGCTGTCACATTTACTAGCATCCTCGTTTCATACTTAAAGGACCTGACTAGAAGAATAATCTGAATATAATTTAGCACAGAGAGTATTTCATATCTTGTTCCTGCAGAATACTAACACAACTTAATCACTGAGAGCTGCAGGGCAATGATTAGTCCAGGTATAAAAAAAAATTACATTATGTATTTCTTTAGAAACTCCTCTTCATTTTTGATACTATCAAATTGCTTATAATCCCAGGAAATCTTGAACAGATTTTCCTGCTTATCTGCATTGCAAAGAACAGTTTCTGAAAGACCGTTACCAGCAAGTAGTAAGCCAAATTTATTCACGGTTCAGGTCGCTTCTTTAGTCTATGAGTAGTGTCATGGCATGATAATCTCCACAGCTGCACTATACTAGCTGCATGGAAAACTCTGACTGTTAAGTAAAAGAGTAACCCAAAATATTAGCAGGTTAACAAAACTAGGCAATTCATATACCTCTTTAACTATGGGAAACATCTCAAGATTACAGGTTTGCTATTTGGGTTTATTTTTGGAACTGATCAGTGTCAGAGTGCAAAAATGTTCTGCTCTAGAGTTCATCATTTACTTTTGTAATGGGTTGTAAGCATTCAGACTTCATAATCAGGAATAAGATTGACTGCTGCTTTCTAAGCTGCTGCTGTTCAACTGATGATACATATCAACAAAATCAGCATACATAAGGAGGTCTTATGCTATAGCTTAGTTCCCCTTGCTAGTTTCTCCTTCATACACCATTGAACATGTTATAACGATAGAGCAGTGAATAGTAAATAGCATTATATAAAAAGCAACAGCAAGGGAAAGCCTTGAACTTTCACCCTTTACTAAATTCATTACTAGTTTCTGAAGTGGATTAAAATAGCGCAGAAGGCACCTTTGATCCACTTTCAGTCACAGAAATGACCTTTGAATTTTATTGTGTTTACAATAATCTTCTATGCAGATGGTTGTGAACTTTAGCTAAATTAGTTTGACCTATTGCAAATAAAGAAAAATGATTTGCATTTAATGTTTCTTCATGGCAACTAAGGGCAAAATGAAGCCATGGAGCAGTATAGTTAGAAAACACTTAAACATTTTCTTTTATTCTACAACAGGAATATGCAAAATTCAACAGAGAAGAAGAAACTGGGAATTGAAGTGTGTCTGTCCTATACATCAGAACCTAGCCAATGAAAATACTACAGCAGGCTCCCTGCAGATCATATCTACAAATAGAAACTCCAACTGCAAGAAAATACTGAAGTCAGTTACATCACTAGTTCTTTTTCCTCATGCAAACCTTCATCTTATGTATCTATCCAGGGTGCTCTTGAAATTAATTTTTCTGTTAAAACACAGTAAGGTCCTTTCTTTGCAAAGGTGACAGGAATGGTACGGAGTTACAGCCATATAGTGTAAATCACTTCTGGAAGTACAGTCAATACCTCTAAAACAGCAGTTTTGGAAGCCCTTTTCATGCTTGTAGTACACTGACACTGTTCCACTAACCAGTGCAAACTAGGACATGAAAATAATTTGCACTCCTTTCTCTTGAACACCATTCCCTACATCCACACACAGACAACCATCCAAAGACATATACTGACAGAATTAGATGTACTAACGAGGAGAAGGATTACTCTCTAACCATGCTGCTCCTACATCTTTCCCTGAAGGATCTTATGTCAGAGACCTGCTACTAAGTTAGACAGAGCTTTGGTTTCCTGAACTACAACATGCTTATTCCAGCCCCCATCACATCCTTCGCATTACTTTGCCTGTCATCACACAATCCTCAGAGGTGGAAGTCCCTGTCTGGATGCAGACAAATCTCCTTCCTCCTGCAGCACAGCTGTCACTGTCATCACAATGTACCATCCTAATGAGGCCCAGGATTTCTCTGTAAGTCAAATCACTTTTCAAGCTTCATTATAAACATACACACATACACATATGTGCAGACTGGTCTAATGATTACATATGCAAATGAATAAAGCTTTATTGACAATCAAATTGCTCTGTATAAACTGTCAAATAATCTCTAAGACCAAACATTTTTGAGATATTCATAGAGGAGACAGAAGATTTTTCAAGGCAGTCATCCCAAACTCTGCATTTACTGACCAATGAGTCCAGTTCAAAAAAAGACAGGGATCTCCCAGAGCAAGGCCAGCAGAGGGCCACAAAGACGGTTGAGGGCCCGAAGCACCTCCTGTATGAGGAAAGGCTGAGACTGCAACTGCGCAGCCAAGAGAAGACTGAAAGGGGATCTCTTTACCGTGTACAAATATCTTAAGTTCAGGAGTCAAGCCGATGGGAGTGAATTCTTTTCAATGGAATGCAGCAATAGAACAAGGGGCAACAGGCAGAAACTAGAACACAGGATGTTCTGAAGGTATTTTTCCATGCTAAAGGAAGGAAAAATACCTTCAGAATGACAGCGCACAGGAACAGGCTGCCAAGAGAGGTTGTAAAGATTCCTTTTCTGGAGATATTCAAGACCCATCTGGACACCTGCTGGTGTGATCTGCTGTAGAGAATTTGCTTTAGAAGGTAGTTGTTCCCAGTGGTCTCCAGAAATCCCTTCCAACCCCTACAATTATGAAATTCAAAATTACATATTTGGAAAAGCATTTTGCATCTGTAATCCTCTTTCAATTCTCTACTTAAACACACATGTGAACCAGCTGATTATAAATCCAAGTACATACACATATACATTAAATACACAATATCAATAGGAACTAGCATACTGTCATAATTAAAACATATACCTCAACTGTTAAAAATCTTTTGGAAGCAATGAACACAGCTGTCAGATTAAATCTTCTGAAATATTTTCTAAGTCAAAGCAGTTTGATCACTTTGTTCCACATCATAAACTTAAAGTTTTCTGAAAGCAGGAGTAAGAAAATGTATCACTGACACTATATTGCTGCTATACCCTAAGTGATTTGTGGAAGCACTAAATGCTATTGTCTTTACAATGCACATTCCTCAGTATCAGGTGTTTTAGATCTGTTCTGAAGAGTCTGAACTGCTGTTATGTGTGCAGGTTGCTGTTCTCTGCTATTCACAGAATCTGTAAACATTCCCAAAGTTAGGGAACAAACAACTCTTTTCTTATCAAAAGATGCAGGGAGAATGTATGCAAGACAATGTTTTATTCTGTGCTCAGCATGGTATGCTTCTATGTGTACAAAGAAAAAAATATTTGCTCAGTTTTAATTAACAGGCATTATTCTAGGGCTAATACTAAGGAAGACAGGCATTTGAAACGTAACCTCACTTAGAGAATTAAAAAAAAAAATGCACAGGGCAGTAAAACAAGCTCAGTTAGAAATATATTTATGTCACAAGAAAAAAAAAAAAGTAATAACATTTTATTACTATTTTCCTGTTCCTGCCCCATAATTATTGGCTATCAAGAGTGCAGTTCTTCAGTTGCCCTCTTACACTGTGTCTGACATGGATGGAGATAACTTTTTAAAAGCTATCCATATGGCACTGTGTTTGGGATTTGTGACTGAAATAGTGTTAACAATGTATTGCTGTTTGAGTCATTGCTGAGCAGTGTTTTTACAGTGTCAAAGTTTTCTCTTTTTCTCATTCTACCTCCCTTCCTACCCCCTAGCAAGGAGATAGGCAGCCTGAGCTGGACAAAGAAGTATTCCATATCAGATAACATCCCCCTAAGCATTAAAAACAGGGACTTCTAGTGTAGCCTCTGCATGTAGACTGGTTGGTTATTAGTCTGCTTGTGGGAGATGAAGAGCTATTGCCTTCGCATCACTTCTTTTCCTTTCATTTATTAAACTGTCTTTGTCTTGACAATGAATTCCATTGCTTTTTCTATTATCAGTCTCTCTTGCTGTTGCATTGGGGTGACAAATGAGCAAGTGGTAGGGTGGCTGTTTGGCTGGTGACCAGGGGCAACCCATCACAACTCATTTTTTAGGAGAATGAAAACTGGAGTGTAGTGTGAGTAACAGAGGAAGTTGGAAGAGGAAAGAAGATAAGAATGAAAGGATTTTTACAAAAATTACAGAAGCATTAAGCAGTAAGATGTTATAACATAAAAAAAAGATCAATGTTAATGGTATCACCTTTATTCAGTGAAGCCTGACATTCTTCAAACATTCTTCTCAAGCCTCTTAGTTTTACTTCTGATTTGCCTTACTTATTAAAAGACAAGTCTGCCTTTCTTCTTTACTTCCTGAACACAAGAGAAGAGGGAGCAATATACACAGTTAAATTGCTTACCTCATGGTATTTTTCCACATTAAAAATAAAAAAAATCAGCAGCAATGTTTAGATTCCACAAGTCTTTTTCTTTTTCTATTTTTTTTAAACTATCCAGCAATACACTAATCTGTATATTTTAAAAGGAGAAACTCACTATTAAGATACAGCAATTAACACCACGAAATTAAAAGTTTGCATTTGAATGAAGTCCAGCACTCGATTCCAGATTGAACAGGCAAAAACTGCACCTGTCATGTGTACTTTTATGCCTACAAAATGAACAGGGAATGGCTATTCAAATGTTTTGATTATACAGGCAAAAATGAGGTATTTCAAAATTGACAAAGAGAAGGAAGTCTGCATTTATGGTTAAAAGGTGCTCCGAAGACAAAAAGCAAATTTTAGAGGAAAAAGTAAGGAAAAAGTGGAAGCCATTGCCTGAAAATATTATGGACTCAGGAGCACTCACAGGGAGCCCACATTTGAAACAGTCAACAGTCAGACATATATCAAGCACATTTAGCTCTTCTGAGGCTCATAAATTACTAGCTTTTACTTATTACAATGTGTGAGGGAAGAACAAAGTATAGCGTACAACAAGTTTAAAACTAGACAGTGAAGGCTGGTACAACTTCTCAGTAAGTAGAAGAAAAAAGATCATTTTTTCCAAGGATTCTAGAAAACATATGTTGAAAAATATTTTTCCCACATAATGGCTTCTTTTTATCCTGAATAAATCAAACACTTAAATGGGGAAGAAGGATGCCTTTTTCTCTCAACCACACTGACTGAATATGCAGTAAAAAAACTGCACTATGTATGCAGAAAAAGTAACTGTCTAAAGTCTTAAAGATAAATGAGCTAGATTCTCTGAAGATAACACGGACAGCTGCATCATTTTTGCATTTCATAATGAGCTAATATGAAGAAGAACGCTATATTTATACCACTATTTGTAAAATAAAGCTACTTGTTACAACTTCTATTGCACTAAGACATTTACAACAAAAAAAATGGCTAATGATAAGAGTTTTCAAAGACATAAAAACTTTTATTGTTTTATGCTGAATGGAGATATCTATAAATACATCCTAATTAATAGTTATAAAAATAAAGCATTATTTTTGCTAAAGCTTATGGGATGCTACGTGAAATAATTCCATTTGCATTCTGTTTTAAAACACAACTCTACATATGCTTTCATTGCAACTATAGCAAAGACCACAAGACTTAAAGAAAGCACAGTCAGTAATGTCTTGATACTCACAAAAGGCTTAACTCAATAGTCACCTTTCAAGGCTTTATTTTAAGCCCCTTATGACTTAATCAAGCACAGCTATTTGGACTTTTTTCATTTCAGTTTCCACAGAAGAGATTTTAAAAATAAACTACATTTAAACTGACAAAAAAATAGCTGATGTATTTTCAATAGGGTCATAAGATAACCAGTGGAAAACTGGTTTTATTCATCCTATGGAAAACATTCCTCCTTTCTGGGCAAGTTATACATCCTAGACTTCAATCCTACAAAGATTTTGCAGATGTGTCAGCTTTACAGCTGTATTTATTCTAAGACTTTGTGTTACACCAGAGAAGTTTAGAAGTTGTAACATCTCATGACAATTGCACCTGAATCATATCAGCAGAAAAAAATTTAACACATGTATTTTAGGTTTGGGCTCCTTGCATCCTCAATTCCACTCCATTCCCCAGATAAGAAATGACAAGCAGAGAGATGGTCTGCCCTGAACAATCAAAACTGCCTTCTGTATGATGTCAAGAAGTGAAAATGCAGCAGCTCATAATATGAACTTACAAGCAGGGAAGGATAGGAAGGAATAGAAGGTTGAGAGACACCTAGGGGATCAATGTCATAAGGGACTTTAAGAGGACAGTAGGAGAGATGAGAGAAGGAAGGAAAAGCAAGAAAAGAAAATCAAACAAAATTTTATTTGCAGCTAACTATATGTTAGTTTATGGCTAGGCTAAGCCATAAACTCCATATGCTTAATGGCTCTGAAAGTAACTGCTGACCAAATTTTCATTACACAGATCTGAATACAACTGCTTCACAAGAGCAAGCAGAGTTCCACTTAACTCCAGAACAGGGGGGACCACAAAGCACCACTGTTCTACTTCCACTTGTCACTCTGTCACTTACCTGGCTGCTCAGCTGTATCAGTCACTCAGCTGTAGTCAGACAAGGCTCACAGAGGTGTGGTGAGCCATTCAGCTAATCTAATGGCAGATAAAAATGAAGCCTCAGAAGTCACAGAAAAGGTGCCTTCTAACTCATAGTTCCAGCTGCACAGTCTATACAGAACATGAGATACAATCAAGACATAAAAACAAACAATCAAAAAAAAACCACTAAATCTTAATTAACAGATTGGTTCCAATAAGATAGAGAAGGCTATTTTTTTTCTTCTTCTAATAGTGTGTATACTTTATTAGCTGCATTGCAAGATCAGCCCATTTCACTGCAAATCCAGTCAGGCAGATGGTAGTTCATATAGTTGCTTATGTGCTCGTATAGTTGTTCATGTTTGCATCATCCTGGCATTCTTACCTTTTTTTTTTTTTCTTATAATGAAATCTGACAAGCAGCTGTTTAAATTCTAGCAGATATGTCAAGCAAGTGATATTTAAGCTTACGTTGCACTGGAAATTAATCAGTTATCTTTAGGAATTTTCTTTCATTTCCCTTTCCAAATGCTACTCAGATGTAACAGACTGCAGTCCACCTAGAGTCTTGCTTAATTCTGACAGGAAAAGCATGTGTTGACACTGACACAGAGTGAATTTAAGAAAATATTTCACTGGTCAATAACCAAACCCAGAAAATCAACACTTTGCATTCTACCACACAACCTCCCCTCAATTTCCTCTTCTCTAGGCTGAAGAAACCAAAGGACCTCAGCTGGTCATCATATGTCTTGCCTTCTCACCATCTTCATAGCTCTTCACTGGATGTACTCTCATGGCTTTATGCCTTTTTTTTATTGTGGTTCTCAAAATTGCACCAGTTTTTAGGCACCAACACACAGAAAAACGCCATCTCTTCCCCAGAAAGTAATGCTGGACCTGATGCATCCCAGAGTACAGTCAGCCCTTTTGGTTGCCAGGGCACATTGTTGAGTCATATTCATCTTGCCATCAACTAGAAGCCCCAAATCCCTTTTCCATAGAGCTGTTCTCTGGCCTCTCACCCCCCAGTCTCTCAGGTTGTCCTGTTCCAGGTACAGCATCCAGCACTTGCTCTAGTTAAACTTCATGTGTTTGGTGATTCTCAGCCATCCAACTTTTTAAGATCTCTCCACAAGGCCTCTTTTACCCTTAAGGGAATCAACAGTTTCTCCCAATTTAGTTTTGTCTCCAAACTTATTTAGTTTAGGTTCAAGCACTTTATTCAAGTCATTGATAAAAACACTAAAGAGAACTGGCCCTAAAATAGAACCGGCCCTAGTATAGTACCCTGCAGAATCTCATTAACAAATGGTGGCCAGTCATCTTCTGCATCCTCCTGAGACAGACCTGGCCAGCAGGTCGACGGAGGTGATCCTCCCCCTCTACTCTGCCCTGGTAAGGCAGCATCTGGAGTACTGTGTCCAGTTCTGGGCTTTCTAGTACAAAAAGACAGGGACCCCTTGGAAAGAGTCCAGCGGAGAGCCACAAAGATGGTGAAGGGCCTGGAGCATCTCCCCTATGAAGAAAGGCTAAGTGAACCAGGTCTGTTTAGACTTGAGAAAAGAAGACTGAGAGGGGACCTGATCCAGGTCTATAAATATTTAAGGTGCTGGGGGCAGAGTGGCAAGGCCAGACTGTTTTCAGCAGTGTGTGGAGACAGGACAAGGGGAAACGGCCAGAAACTGGAGCATAGGAAGTTCCACACAAATGTGCACAAGAACTTCTGTACGGTGAGGGTGACGGAGCACTGGAACAGGCTGCCCAGGGAGGTTGTGGAGTCTCCTTCTCTGGAGATATTCAAGACCCACCTGGATGCCTACTTGTGCGACCTGGTGTAGGGAACCTGCTTTGGCAGGGGGGTTGGACTTGATGATCTCTGGAGGTCCCTTCCAACCCCTATGATTCTGTGATTCTGTGAGTTCAGACCATATGAATTATCTCCTGACAGCATCTCCGCAGTCCTCCCATGTTGTCTGACCTCACTTTCTGTGGTCATACCACTTTCTTCTTAAATTCTACTTAAATTCTGGAAGATCACTTCTCAGCTAGGTTGATCTTCTGCTCTACCTACTTCCTTCCAGTATTTTGGAATGATCTATTCCTGTGCGATGTGGGGTTGGGGAGAAGAATTAAAAAGTCACCCTTAGCTTCACTTCCCAACAGATAAGCAAGCTGCCAAGTAGGGCCTTTCTGGATCAGTTTGGTATTTACAGACCCCAAATCTGCTTGACTTCATTTAAAATTTTCCACATGATCATTGTCAGGTCAATGTGGGCTAACCTCAGGTCTGTGAGCAAAGCTTCTCTGTTATCAAAATTAAAATAAATTAAAAGAACACAACCAAACCCTACAAATCTCAATACAGCACCAAAAAAGTATGTTGCCACAGACCAGAGAATAAAAAAAGCAGAACAATAAGCTAAAGATACATATTGCTTTGAAAAATAAGAGGATTGCTGCAATCCCCATGAAGACTACAATTTCACAGCAGTGTTTGCAATCCCTCTGGGTATTTGATGGGTAGGAACTGTTTTAGCCATCATGCAATTTGTTCCAATGAGTCCACTGGTGTTTTACCACACACCTTCCAAAAGATTATAGAAAAGAAAAATACACATCACACCAGCATTATGCACACAAGTCAGGGAAGTGGCATGACTACCAAAATAGCTCAGCTATTCTGAAACATGTTTAGCTCTGTCAGTAGTTTTGCTTTCCCAGTCACAGAATTCTGTATCCACACAAGGACCTCCAGTATCATTCCTCATTCCTCTTACCTTTTATCCATCATTCTCATGCAACTGTGCTGACACTTGACATTGTGCTATCCCAAACAATATTTCAGGTTAATAAGATACAGGTACTGGCAAGTATATTAAGTGGCCCAATTACAAGCTTCTAGCTTCAAAGAAGGGCAATAAAGCTGGTGAGGTGTCTGGAGCACAGGCCTTATGAGGAGCGGCTAAAGGAGCTGGGATTGTTCAGTCAGGAGAAGAGGAGGCTCAGGGGAGACCTTATTGCACTCTATAACTACCTGAAGGAAGGTTACAGTGAGCTGGGGGTCAGCCTCTTCTCTTGTGTAACTAGTGATAGAACCAGAGGGAATGGCTTCAAGCTGCACCAGGGGAGATTTAAGCTGGATGTTAGGAAATACTACTTTTCTGAAAGATGATCAGGCACTGGAATGGACTGCCCAGGGAGATGGTGGACTCACCGACCCTGGAGGTGTTCAAGAACGTTTGGATTTTGTGTTGAGGAACATGGTTTAGTGAGTACTATTGGTGATAGGTGGATGGTTGGACTGGATGATCTTGAAGGTCTTTTCCAACCTTGGTGATTCTGTGATTCTATTGATGTGACTTAGATTTTAGAGTACAAGTTATTTTCCTCCTTGCAGAATAGCTAGAAGTATAAAGCTTGCAAACAGAAAAGCCACGAAAGAATAAGGGAAAGTACGAACAAGAAATACTGAATTCACCAAAATAGCAGTTTTAGTTAAAAATACGGGGTTCTCAAAAAGAAAGTTTTATTTTAATATTTTATTTCAGAGATTGCCTCAATATTACTCCCTAGGTCTCAGGGATTAATATTTCAGACAAAAACATTTTTCACTTCCTTTTACTTTTCCCCCCAACTCATGAAATTTCAAGTCAGCATATTCAGTTGGCTAGTCCACTTTTATTGCTGTTATTGTTGTTGTTGTTTTTATCTTTTTCCCTGGTTATCGTACAGAAATATTTGCAATCTCAACCTTTTATTACATCTTCCAGATGAACTTTCTGGCTGAAGATTCTCTAACTCCGCAGTGAAGCCCAGCACCTGAACTGACATGAGATAATTCCCAGCACCTCTGATAGCCCTCTTGAAAAATATAATAGCTTACAGCAATTATTTCCTCTTAATATATTACTTTCACATTTCTCATAATTACACTAGTCATCCATCAATTTAGACTTTACTATAATAACCACCAGAATTCTTTAGCTTGGATATTCAGCCTACTGCAACACTTATATAAGGATTTAACACAAGGGTTTTATGGCATTTTGAAACGGACAATCTTTTTCCTTCAGTACTGCTGTTTCAACTAGGTTTCAGCAGTTGAAATTCTGAACCAAGTGACTGCATACATTCTCTTTCTCTTACAAAAAAGAGATCTGACTAATTGAAGAGCTTTTTAAGAATGACTGCTATGAAGCCTTTAAACCTGAAATGTTCATCAAGAAAGTATTGGGTTTTTTAATCTGATGAGATAGCTCTTTTCCTTCTGGCTTGTTGAAGAGTTGCTTAGTCATCACTAAGTAATTAATTTTGCAGTAAGTTACAGCATTTCATTCAAAATTTCTTTGTCCTCTATACATAAAAGTGCCTCCTGATTTAGAAAATCGTATCAAGCAGCTAATATATTCCATAAAGCCTATTTATGAATATACATCTCTGTCATTTCAATTGAACAAAGATTTTACTCTGCAATTTAATCAGACAATCTTCTTTCAGAAAAGTCTAGTCACATTTCGCATTTACCTATTTTGACAGAGAAGGGGTTGAAATAGATTTTTATTTTCATATCTGTTTTGGACAAAAAGCACACCCACCATACTGCCCTTTACAGAAAGCTACATGCCAAATGCATCCCTTCCAATTTCAAGTGAATCATATATCAGTGTCAGAAAGCCACAGTATCTGAGACTCGTTCGTATCTGGAAAAAATTATAGGAGAACTGGAGTTAAACCTGAACCTGGATAGAATACTTGGCTCAGATCATATATATCAGAGGAGACTGCTGAGTACTGAAGGTTAGGATGGAAGTATCTTGATCCTCTCCTAGCCGTCTACTGAACGTTTTATTTGACCCAAATACATTTTATGTCAGTATATTTAAGAACATTTGCAGATACAGACTGGATCTAAATGTAGGCCCCAAAGTTGGAAGCTTTGTAGTAAAAGAGTGCTCGACCTGTATGTAGTCTAACCCAGCATTACACAGACCAGAGCAGGTCAGTTTGAAAACCACAGAAAGTCATCAGCTCCTTTGTTCTGCTATACTAGTCAAAACCCAGAAAGAGAGGGGAAAAATAGGTATCAGCAGGCTGACAGGCTTGTCAGAGTAACTTACAGAACAAAGAATTAGCTGCATGCAGCAATTAGGAACCTATAAAACGCAAGTGGTGAGGACAGAAAATGAAACACAAGAAAGATGGTCTTAACATCAAGAAATACCGCTTTCAGAAAGAGCTGAGGAGTCACCAAAATGACCAGACTTTACTTTCAGCCTTAGTTTATTTTTAAAGGATGCTAAGTATATCTACTGTATCTTACAGAGTTTGATAATAAAAATCAAAGCTGAAAATCCAATGTGCCTTCTCTGTATGGATTTCTCTAAGCAACAACTGGTGAGAACTTCAAGAGCTACTGGATGTTACAGGGGTTAGCACTGGTTTCTGCTCCCTCGAATGGCAATCCAGTCTAGCAGTCTCCAATTTACTTATAACATCTTTGACTGATTGTTGGTCTAGACATTACACTACCAGAAAAGTAAATAAACAGCTTTTCCCAACTTTCTCAAAAAAAAGTTATTTTATTCAAGGAATAAAAACAAAATCTGAGTTCAGTTGCAGATTTCCTCATGCTGCTACTGTTTGATTGTTCCAGAAGAAACTTTGTATCCTTTACAAGCACAATTATATTTCTTTTAGTTACAGATTATCATAAATACACCTAAATGTGTCTACAAGGAAGCAAGTATACCTAGAAAATAATATAGCTTGTAATACTATTCAACAGAGCAACATGTATTTTGCTGAGAAAAAAATAAATTGCTTTCAATTTCATTAACATGTAATTTAAAAGGAAATATTTTCCACTAAAATATTCCCTCAATCAAAAATGATTGATTTGAATGCACAAGAGTACTGCTGTTTTCCTCATTTTTTGAGCAGTAGGAGTGTAGTCTATTTGAAATGAGGTGGTTCTGGAGGCTTGTTTTAAGAGGCAAATAAAGCTCTCAGAACAGGGTAGAAGAATTACAGAATTAGACAGATCTATATAATCTGTCTGATTCAAGATTGCACCTGTTAAAGTTGGATATTTTAACCTTGCCTCATATAATTTAGAAACCACAAATCTGTTTTTGTACCCATCATTAAGGGTTGCCAGTGACTATTGAATATGCTGGGGGAAGAGGGTGGCCATTAGTATTCCATGAGTGCTGATGGGTGCCTGCAACAATATGATTAGCAGCCTCAGTAGATTGACCTAGGGTGCAAAACTATCAGTTCCTTATCTTGACATGAAAGCTAACTTAGAAGTATAGACTAGCATTTTAACCAGTAGGAAAGTGGATCACACTTAGTCAGAAGCACAGGGGATATCAAAAAGGCAGATTTCTATCTCCTAGTACCCATTTTCTCAGACTAATCTAGGCTGAATTTATAAAACTTACTTTATACTAAAAGAAAGATACTTTAAGGGAAATCTGCCAGTCTACAAAGTACTAATCCTAACAAATCTATTCAAAAGCAACAGGTGCTGTTTAAGTACTGGATAACTAGCAAGAAACAAGTTCTCCATTGTTTAATACAGTTTGGTTTTTTTTGTTTAGCTGGTTGTTTTTTCTCCAGTTAGAAGTCCTCAGCTCCTATATTCACATTATGTTTCAAGTTTGCTTCTCTCAGAAGTCAGCCTAGCTTAAAAGTATCCAGCACCTCACCAATAGACAACAATAGAAGATAAGAGCAAGAAAGTAGTCATACTCTTATGCTTCGTATTTCCTTGCACTGATGCCAATTAAACAGGAAGTCACTACAAAAAGCTGTGCTACTTCCATGGAGAAGGAAAGTTATGCGCATCAAAACACTTGAAAGTAAAATCCAGTAGATCAGACTGTGAAACTAGTATTTACTCTAACTGCAGGTGGTTTAAAATTATAGGTTTTAAAGCTATCATTTGGAAACAAAGCAGAGACTACTATCTTTGTTTTGCATCAAAGAGTTTTATAGGACTGACATGTCATCAGTAAGTAAAGAATGTTTGCTTTAAAGCATATTGAATTTAAAATACAAAGCAGCCAGCAAATTGTAGAGGAGGGACGAAAAGTACGTGAAGCCACATTAGGCACCTCATGATTTTATATTTGAAATACAACTGCTGGCATTTAGAACTGTATTTTTACTTTTATAAATATTGATTTCTTTTTATTTCTACTCATATATATGCTTGCTTGTACAGAGCATAGTCAAGCTCCAGGGATTAAAAAAAAAGTAGTAAAAAGAAGAAAAAAAGCCACAGAACAACAATAAAAAAAACTTAAAAGCTCTCATCTAAAATAAGAAGTCCAGGATGCATTCAGAATTCTAACAGTAGCAACTGAGAAACAGATAAGGCAAAAGGCATACCACAAACCCCAGGATGAAGTAATGAAAACATGTGTTTCAACAATATTACAAGAAAAAAAATAGCTTTAAATCAGAAACGCTCTTTTACAAAGCCAATCTATTTAAGAACAATGCTATTTGTTCATCCTGACTTGTTCAGACTGCATACTTTGGTTGACCGTATCCTTATGTATTCTTCACATGCTTTTACACCTAACATCAATTCTAAATATTCCAACAATCTGTTAGAAACAAATAAGACAAGCACAAAAACATAAGTTTCCTTTCTTGTTGAATGACGCACAATGAACTCTGATAGCACATTTCTGCCAAGAAACTTGGGAAAGCCTTGGTTTGGCTTTATTTTTAATGAGAGTTTTGCTTCTCACAGTTTTGTGACTCGTATTTAAATTTAGAGTTTTAGAACTTCCTGACGAGTTTTTCAGGAACTTTGTCCCAGCTATTCCAGTGATAATTTAATGACAATAAAGTTATCTTGAGTACTGAAAAGGAAGTGGAAGCTCTTAGTCAATTCAGTAAAATTCAAGGCAGTTATCAAATGCGTATTTTAGCCTCCATCTACTGTATAGCTTAAAGATTTCTCAATGCTATGCAATAAGCAGAGATCTAGCATAAAAGACTGATGTTTTATTCATACCATGGAGAATCTTATACAAACTGAAATATCCACCAGCAAAGATACCATCAATTGTGTCCCACACTAATAGACCACTGTACACTACTAATCAGCCTAATTTAAATCAAAACTTTTAGGAATTGAATGAAATATTAAATAAAGAGTAAGATTTAAATTCAGAATCAGTATACATGTTTTTTAATGAGTGAATGGCTACAAAAAACATGGATTGGTAATATTAAAAGAGAAAGTAAAGTAGGTGGGCAGCATGGAGGATGAAAGATAAACTTTTGATTTCACACAATATGTCTACTCCTAATTTTGCAACAATTTTGTTCCTCTAAAACATTTTAATACATCAGTGTAAAATTTAATAGAAATTATGCAATTATGCATACACTATGTGTTATGTAATATCTGATGCCATGTGGTTATAGATGGAATAGACAAAATTCTGTTTTACATCAATATTAAAGTAAAAATCTACATTCAGTGTATAAGACAAAGCCACCATAAAATAAATATTTCACGCAACAAAAGCGCTTCATTCCTAAAGAAGGAAATTGAATTAAATCAGACAGATGAACATACTAAACTGGCCCAACACACACCACTTTTTTCACAATAATTGCAGATCTGAATTGATCCCTCAGATATTCTACTATGTCACCTCTTACTTGTCAGGCAGTAGGGAGCAGCACAAACAAAAACCCCATATCGTCAGGGCAAGCATTTCAATATTTTAGTATTTTAACTATCAGAGAACTATTATCACAGAGTTGTCTTGAATTTCCACCTTTCTTACAAGCAACAAATCCTCAAAAGTGGATAGCAGTCATGCCCTGCCTTTGGAAGCCTTTTCCAAAGTAAGAGAGGTATA